AAAGTTTTTGAAATTTTAATAACTTTCTTAAACTATCTGCATTTCAACCAAACTTGGACAGAAGCTTGTTTATGATCATAAGATAGTATCCAGAAGAGAATTTTGTAAAAAAAAAATCCTGTTTATCCGTATTTTACTCATAAATGGACTTAGTTTTTCTGCCAGTTAACATTACATTCACACTGTGGTTAAATTCTTTCAAATTTTAATTACTTTCTTAAAGTATCCTAGATTTGTACCAAACTTGGACAGAAGCTTGTTTATGATCATAAGATAGTATCCAGAAGAAAATTTTGTAAAAAAAAAATCCTGTTTATCCGTATTTTACTCATATATGACCTTAATTTTCTGCCAGTTAACATAACATTCACTCTGTGGTTAAAGTTTTTCAAATTTTAATAACTTTCTTAAACTATCCTGGATGTGTAACACACTTGGACAGATGCTTGTTTATGATCAAAAGCTAGTATCTAGAAGGAAATTTTGTAAAAATTTATTCCCTGTTTTTCCATATATTACTTATAAATGGACTTAGTTTTATTCCATTTAACATTATGTACAGTCTGCAGTTAAAGTTTTTAAAACATTTATTAGATTCATAAACCTTCTTGGATTTTTACTAAACTTGAACAGAACTTCTTACAATCAAAAGATAGTCTCTAGAGGAAAATTTTTAATATTTTTTCCACTATTTTTGTTGAGCCTGCGACTAACAGCAAAAGTAGGCGAGACACTGGGTTCCGAGGAACCCTTACGCATTTTTATACATCGACAATCACCAGAGGACATATGGTATACCGTTGTCCATCTGTCCACTCAACCAACTGATTTTAAAATTAAAAAAAAGGTAGATAACTCCTGTCTTGCTTTAATATAACATGAGACTTGTATTGGGTTCTAGTATCTGAATCATTGGAAGAAACCCCCATTTTGATTTTGAAAACTTTTTGGTTTGTTGTTCAAAAGTTACAGGACTTTAATAACCGGATTAAGGCTAAATGTTTAGATATCATGCACTGCTAAAATATGCTTATGTTTTTTGTCATGTGAATTTCTAACTTATTATAAGTTATATGATAACTATTTGGAATGTGGGTTCCTTGCAAATAGTGTTAAACCATTCAAACAGGAAAACCAACAGTCTAATCTATATAAAAAAAAAAGAGAAACGAGAAACACCAACAAATGACAACCACTGAATATCAGGTTCCTGACTACATGTCTCATAGGCGAATCCAGGCCCCACCCCTCCTTTTGTTGGAAAAATTTGGTTGATTATATAGGGATTCACTGAAGCATGACTGGACAGGACCCCCTTATAAAAAGTTCTGGATCCGCCACTGTGTCTACATGTCTGTAAGACAGGATTCGGTTAACTTCAAGTTCATTTCATGGATAAGTGAAGCCTTTCGCCCCTCTTTTTCAACTGAACTTGACCCTGTATTCATGGTTCATTATGGTCAATGTTAAGTTATTGTTTTTGGTTGTATTCTTATACTATTGGCAATAGTTCTACTATATTTGGTGTATTGAATGATTGTAAGGTGTACATGTCAGTCTGGCAGGTTCACCTGAACTTGACCCTGTATTCATGGTTCATTGGTTAATGTTCAGTTGTTTTTTTTTGTTGTATTCTTAAACTCTTGGCAATAGTTCAACTATTTGGTGTATTGAATGATTGTACATGTCAGCCTTTCGCCTCTCTTTTTCAACTGAACTTGACCCTGTATGCATGGTTCATTATGGTCAATGTTAAGTTATAGTTTTTGGTTGTATTCTTATACTATTGGCAATAGTTCAACTATATTTGGTGTATTAAATGATTGTAAGCTGTACATGTCAGTCTGGTAGTTTCCACCTAAACTTGACCCTGTATTCATGGTTCATTGGTTTATGTTCAGTTTTTGTTTTTTGTTGTATTCTTATACTAGAAAATCTTATAAAATCCTTGTTATTTTTCATAGTTTTTGAAACAGAAAAGCAGCCAATGTTAAAAGTATGAAAAATCTAGAGAGAATTATTTCCCGCCAAACTTTTCGATGGCTTATATCTCGAAAACATGCACATGGACACCTTATTTTTTTCTTCTTTTTTAATTCGTTTATTTATATAGTATCATTTTAGAACAGTCTTTTAAAAAGCTTGTTATTTTGAAACAGAGTAGCGAACATCCTTAACATTGGAATTTGATGCTTTTATGCCTGCAGCAATAAAGAGCAAAGACTGGTTAGGTCATATTTTCCTTGTTCAAATGAAGATGTAAGCAATACCTTTGAACTGGATATAACTGATTGTTCAATGAATGTCATATAAAGCCTGTTAATAACATCAGTTCTAAATGCACATCTACTAAAAATATATCATAACAATAACATGAATAAGAAAGACAGATTAATGACATTTTTTACTCAACTTTATTTTCAAATAAATATTGCATATCAATATGTTTTTACAAGAGAAATATCACATAATACTGGACGACAACACACAAATAAAACTGACGGAACTATTTTATGCAGTACCGATACATTTCCTTCCATACAATCTGGACTATCCCACACTGTATAAATAGCAAGCATCTATTATTTAAGGTAGATTAATTGTATACCTCCATCTTGGATTGTAAAATAGTAGCACATAATCAGTCTAGTTCCTTGCCTAAATTTGCAAATTTTGAGACAGATCAGCAATTTATGTGAAAGACTGTTAATTTAAATAAGGACAAATAATTGATTAATTGCAGTATTTTAACTGTTTTAACAAATATTGAAAACTTGTTTCTGTTCAAATTAATTTTCTAACTTAGCCATTTAGGGGGAGTTAACCCTTATAGTAAAAATTCTGTTTTATTTCAAATTTCTATCTCATAGATTTCTTTGTATTCACAAAAAAAAAAAATTTCATGCATAATGTATGCAAAATTTAATCAATTTTGCATGACATGTAGCTTGAAAAATAGCAGGGTGACCCATGCTCTGTATTTTTCTTGAAAAAAAAGGATGGTAAAATCTACATTTTGGCAGAGTATAAGAAAATTTTATCTGAATGAATATATACTAATGTATCATCTTTCTTAAAAATGGTCCAAAAAGGACCAAAAACTGGCTCATTCGAGAAAATCAATCTCGTTGAGATGACCAACGATAATCTTTAATTATTTGCAATGCAATAATAAGGGACTGGATGGAGGGGTACTTAATTTCTTTATTCAGATTTTTAAGCCATTTTTCTTTAAATTTAACAATATTGCTTATTGTGTAAAAAAATAAGGTGATTTCCTTATTCTGAACATCTTTCATTCCTGTGATCAGTATTTAATTATCTAATCCTTTTATTTTCAAATTATTCTTTATACTTTTGCCCCCCATTATTTTTTTTTTTTTTTTTTTTTTTTGGTCATTATTCTCTAGTCTTTAAACACCATCTGGACCCTCAATAATATACAACACACAAAATGATGGAACAGTATATAAAAAAACAAAAATAATATTTTACATTTTTGTAACACGTCAGAATAAGCAATAATGATTGTACAAATGCAATAAAAAGAGATATGGAAAAATAAATTGCTGTAAAGGTTAAGCATGACAAAAAATTTCATCAAATATAAAATTGTCTAAGATGTAATAGTTAATTCTAATGTTCATCAAATATAAGATGGTCTAAGATGTAATAGTTAATTCTTATGCAATTATTTTGTATTAATGGTTCTGATTGGATGACAGTAAGCGTAAAATTCTCTATCTCCTTGTCTGTAACTAAGGAAGCCGACATTTTGAATTCCGGAATGTATTGACATGTAATTTCTACAATAATAAGCAAAACAACTCACATGTTGCACCTAGAAATCTTCTTTTTAACACATTTTATTACATTCTGAAGCGGCCAAGAGGCCAGAAAATGCCCGGTGTTCACGTTTGACGCCTGAAGAATACCTATGATTTCACCTAGTTTAGGGGCCAAAGAAGATATAACATCTTTTCGCGAAATGTTCCATAACGAAAAATGTCATCAAATATAAGATGGTCTAAGATGTAATAGTAAAATGGACTATAATCATTTTTTATTTACTAAGCGAGACAGAATGCTGCATGGGACGTCAGAATATAATCTTTCTTTTTAATGAGGTCAAAGTTATCTAAATAATACTTGTTAAAGGTAACGAACAATAAACTCATTCATTAACTCATTATAAAATATAAATTGTCATTTTCTAGAATATCACCTTTCTTAGCAATAACTCTTATTATACTCTTATATAAAGGGACATTGATTTCACACTTCAGTGGTTTTCAAAGTGATATAAAAGTCACACTTTGGTGATATACAAAGCATTTTTGATGTCTCACTTCAGTGGTCTTCAGAGTGATATTGATGTCACACTTCAGTGGTTTCCAAATTGACATTGATGTCACACTTCAGTGGATTTCAAAGTGATATTGATGTCACACTTCGGTGATTTCTAAAGTGATATTGATTTCACACTTCAGTGGTTTCCAAATTGATATTGATGTCACACTGCAGTGGATTTCAAATTGATATTGATATCACACTTCAGTGATTTCTAAATTAATATTGATGTCACACTTCAGTGATTTCTAAAGTGATATTGATGTCACACTTCAGTGATTTTTAAAGTGATATTGATGTCACACTTCAGTGGTCTTCAGAGTGATATTGATGTCACACTTCAGTGGTCTTCAGAGTGATATTGATGTCACACTTCAGTGGTTTCTAAATTGATATTGATGTCACACTTCAGTGGATTTCAAAGTGATAGTGTTGTCGCACTTCAAAAAACCTTCATTTAACCATTTTTAAATAAGTAGGCATTTGCACATGTCTAGGAAAGATTTATAAAACATTTAAAACAAAAAAATCCTTCATAACAATCTTAACAACATTTCTCAGCTATTATAATCATACATAAAATAGCACATTAGCAAGTTGAAAAATGAAAATATCACTGTTAATGCATATAACGATTTACAATGAGACAGCACATCCATATGGAAGACTGGTTTATATAGCACTTATACTGGTCTGGTACCCATCGAGAAACAAATCTAAAAAAAATACAATAAATTGCTATATGATATTTTTGATTAAACATGGAAAATCTAAAATTATTTACTTATTGTTTAAGTTAGTTGTCATCCAACTGGTAGCTTGAATATGCTGGCTTTTTTATTTTGTGTTGTAAAGTCGCCAGTAAAACTGCATTTGAGTCAATTCATTAATGACAACTTTTCATCTATTAGATTTTTATTCCTTATATATTATCAAAACTTAAGAAGTTTAAATAAGAAAAGGTTTTGAAAATGCAGGTCACTCAAAACCAGTTATATGTCTAGAAAAAAATAACTTGGTACTTTTTCAACCAGCACTTTGAAATGGCCTCTATCTCAGAACTTCCTCAATAAGATTTGTCTCCCCTATGATATACTGTCATAGTGCCTATCAATAATAGGTTCACATTTCACATCAGTATCATTACTTCTACAAACCAGTCACTTGAGGATATTTTTGTGATTGCGAAATAATTATAAAATAACTAATCGAAGAATTCAAATAGAGAAAAATATTCAACAAGTAACCAAACAGCACATTAATTCACGAATGCGCATAGCTCATAAGTTAATTATCAGTGTTGTTCGTTCACGAGTTGAATATTTTTAGATATTTGAATTCTTTGATTAGTTATTTTTTTTATTACATTGGCAAATGGCTTTTTTTCTAAAATGAAAGTAGAAAATGTAAGGAACTATATCTTGTTCTAAGCCTTCACACTTTGTTGTTACCGATGTCATGACAATGCCTATTGTTGTATGACGTCAGAGGAGTGAAATAACCACGTTTATTTCACATGTGAAATTGTCGGTTTTTATTTCACTGGGAAATCAATGTCATTCATTGCAACCATTGTAATAGAAGAAAATATCCACTATGACACGTTTACAATACTTAAATTCACGTGGTTATTTGCAATCCTGTATTTTGTATACACACCTGATTAATATATCACTTTATATTGTTTCTCTTCTTTTCCTCTTCTATGGAATCTATAGAATCTGGAGAAAAAACAATACAGATTGTCAACATATGAGCTACGTCACACTGAAATTGACACTATGTAATAATTTAGTGTATGTATACTGGTATATGTACAAGACTTTGATTGATTTTTAAACTTTCAAATATGAAATAAAAGATAAATGAAGGTCTGTTTTGTGGGTTCTTATATCAACCCAATTTTCAAACAATAACAGACTTTGCATAGAGAACATTTTAACCCGAAACAGGTCAACACATGTATTGATATTCATTTGAATAATGACGATTTTATATCATAGTTTATCCTATCTATAATTTTTGTAATCCTTTATTTTTTCGGTTTTGACATTTTTACCCTAGTTATAGATTTTTGTCTGTTCATTTCTTTTGTGCATTCAGATATATTGTTATGCTGATGTGTTATTATGCTGTAGTTTGTAATGGTATAGATCTAAGTATAGATTAATTTAATTTTTAATGATAAGGTTGCATTGCATGAAATTGTTAATTTGTTCTCGTCCTGAATATGCATAAAATATTTGCCACTGAGCGTTAAGCAACTAACAATCAATCAATCAATCATATAAATATAAAATAACAACTTCTTATTTTTATATTCAGTACCGAGTAGATGTATATTCAAAATAAAGTCCATACCAACAGAGACATTGTCATAATCATGTCCGGTAGCTGATTTATCTGGACTCAAATTGTTCAAGTTTACGTTCAAATTCTCTTTAAACAGAAAATCCTTTTTACTGGGAACAAATTCTTCATAACCATTATCTTCTGCAACCACGGCAACTGTTAATCATAAACAAAAATCATATATTTACTTATTATTAGCAGATATGGATATAATTACAACCAACAAAGATTAAAGGATATAACAGCCTTCAAAATCCAGGGGTTGATATAGATATAGTTACAATCAACAAAGAGTAAAGAATATAACAGCCTTCAAAATCCAGGGGTTGATATGGATATAGTTACAATTAACAAAGATTAAAGGATATAACAGCCTTCAAAATCCAGGGGTTGATATAGATATAGTTACAATTAACAAAGATTAAAGGATATAACAGCCTTCAAAATCCAGGGGTTAATATGGATATAGTTACAATTAACAAAGATTAAAGGATATAACAGCCTTCAAAATCCAGGGGTTGATATAGATATAGTTACAATTAACAAAGATTAAAGGATATAACAGCCTTCAAAATCCAGGGGTTGATATAGATATAGTTACAATTAACAAAGATTAAAGGATATAACAGCCTTCAAAATCCAGGGGTTAATATGGATATAGTTACAATTAATAAAGATTAAAGGATATAACAGCCTTCAAAATCCAGGGGTTGATATAGATATAGTTACAACCAACAAAGATTAAAGGATATAACAGCCTTCAAAATCCAGGGGTTGATATAGATATAGTTACAACCAACAAAGATTAAAGAATATAACAGCCTTCAAAATCCAGGGGTTGATATAGATATAGTTACAACCAACAAAGATGTAAGGATATAACAGCCTTCAAAATCCAGGGGTTAATATGGATATAGTTACAATTAATAAAGATTAAAGGATATAACAGCCTTCAAAATCCAGGGGTTGATATAGATATAGTTACAATTAACAAATATTAAAGGATATAACAGCCTTCAAAATCCAGGGGTTAATATGGATATAGTTACAAGTAACAAAGATTAAAGAATATAACAGCCTTCAAAATCCAGGGGTTGATATAGATATAGTTACAACCAACAAAGATTAAAGGATATAACAGCCTTCAAAATCCAGGGGTTGATATAGATATAGTTACAATTAACAAAGATTAAAGGATATAACAGCCTTATCCAGGGGTTGATATAGATACAGTTACAACCAAAAAAGATTAAAGGATATAACAGCCTTCAAAATCCAGGGGTTGATATAGATATAGTTACAACCAACAAAGATTAAAGGATATAACAGCCTTCAAAATCCAGGGGTTGATATAGATATAATTACAATTAACAAAGATTAAAGGATATAACAGCCTTCAAAATCCAGGGGTTGATATAGATATAGTTACAATTAACAAAGATTAAAGGATAGAACAGCCTTATCCAGGGGTTGATATAGATATAGTTACAACCAACAAAGATTAAAGAATATAACAGCCTTCAAAATCCAGGGGTTGATATAGATATAGTTACAATTAACAAAGATTAAAGGATATAACAGCCTTCAAAATCCAGGGGTTGATATAGATATAGTTACAATTAACAAAGATTAAAGACTATAACAGCCTTCAAAATCCAGGGGTTGATATAGATATAGTTACAATTAACAAAGATTAAAGGATATGACAGCCTTTTCCAATCAGGAAAAATCCATAATTCTCTGTTTACAATCAAATAGAAATTCCCATTTAGTTGTTTTATTGTCTTTTAAGAGAGCAACCATTTAAACTCAAGGGTTGGGTTATTGTAATTTGTCTAAGTCAGAAACATTTTTTTTTCAAAATTTAACATTACAAGGTATGGGGAAAATCTGCCCCCTGAAGTAAAATGGTCGTTCTCTAATTAATTTTTTTTGTATGAAAAAAACGAATGACTGTATTTCTAACATTTTGATGAAAATTAACCTAAAAAATTTCAAAATCAGACAGGTATTCCCTTTTAATATTTCTGCTCTTATATATTTTTTTTCTTCTTGTATAATTTTTAGCAACCTTTCTTTCTAGTCTTGTACCTCATACTTAAATCAAGTTCTGAAAAAAAAGTCTGGAAAATGACAAATTTTAATGACAGGTTTAATTTTTCGCTAATTTTGCTTTGAATACAAAATGTGAAATTTTCCTGCACCTAAATTCTATCGTTACTGAAAGTCACAAGAAAGGAATAGAAACGGAAAAATTGAAGCTTGCAAACTGTTTTTCATTTAAAATGGTGAAAATATACCACTTTACTCAACATACCATTGGCAAGGTTTGGGTTTCCAAAATCAGCATTGATATTTTTAATGGTGGTATACCGATCGTCAACACCTTCAGCTACAGATGTACAGGAGGGAGGTCTATCTGTACAGTTGTTATGGCAACCGTCTGTTGATGATGATGTTGTGAAGTTTGGATTATTTATTCCTGATATTTCTGCAAGAAAAAAACATTATATAAGTATGTCATATCTACTGAGGCTAACGTGAGGGTACCCAAATTGCACCTACTTTGACAGTTTTTTCACCTACGTTTTTTTAATGATCCAGACACAAGTTTTCATTCTGTGTTTATTTTGTAGCTGTATCCTTATTTACTATATAGTTACTCCAATTTAATTTTGAATCCATATTGAATCATAGAAAAATGAGTTTGAACCGACCTCCAAATGATTCTGTAATGAGGAGTACCCAAATTGCATCCATGTTTAAATTCACATCCTTAAAAATTGTATAACAGATGTTTTGTTTTATTTCTTCAAATATTTTGAACCATTTGACATTATTCCATGCTTACTAATTACTAAATTTTCGTGGATTTCATGGGTACAGGTGAACCATGTAATTAAATGTTCAATGAGTAACAATAGGTTTGTATGCAGACTTCAGCAAAACCACTAAATTAAATATTCACCAAAATGCAAGTTTTCCTTAATCCACAAAAATAGGTATCCACGAAAAATAAATGAATTCACAGTAAACCTTGTATTTATTTAATTAAGGGCTATTCCAGAAAAAAATGTAAGGGGGGGGGGGGGGGGGGTTGGAAGGCACTGTATATTAATAATACATGGATGATGGGTATTAGAGCTACTTTTCACACTTTAATGCACTATGATTCTCAATTACAATTGTCTGGGTGGCAAGTGCTGAAACAAACTGCCTTCCAACCCCCCAACCCCCATACATTTTTTTTCTGGAATAGCCCTTATATAAAAATAAGGAGATGTGGTAATATTGTCAATGAGACTACTATCCTCCAAATATTAAAATGTGAATGTAAGCATGTTTGGTTAATAACCTTTTTTTCCTAAGAGCTTAAAGTAACTACTTATCTTTTTGTGAGCAGACCTAGCAGTTTAAATTTTTTTTTGTAGGACTTGCTGAGCAATTCAAATATTCCAAATTCAACTGTTGAGGTGGAGATTTTTTCCAGAATACCCTATACAGTGGTGGTTTTTGCTTCTGTAGTGATTTGTAGGCAATCCCAATCTTTCTCTTTCAATGAGCATGTGATGTGCGCGTGTCAAATGAAGTCAGACACAGTAAAACTGACAAGCTCAGAATTAAAGTATTACTTACCAGATTGTGAATTAGAGAAGTGAACAGAATTCAGGATTTCATTTTCTTTTTTTAACCTGCTCATTCTTCTGTACATGTAGACTCCTACAAACAATACTATCAACAGAAACAAAACAATCATTACTGTCACTATGGCAACAGCTGGATCTGATTCTTGAGGGGCCGTCTCAGAAGGTGAAATGATATGTCCTACTGCATCTCGTCCTGAAAGAAGAAAAAGTCTCATTATTTGAAGTTGGGTTGCTGTCTCATTGACATAATTCTTACATCTTTTATATATACATATATCAGTTTTTCAAATATTTTGTGCAATGTTTTACCCTGAAAAAAACAGACTGGTTTACTAAGTACAGAATGTTGTCTTCTGCCATCTTGGCTTGTCAAATAGCAGAACACAATACCTTTAGATTTTCAATCAAGTCAACAAATTTAAATGCAGGAATGCAATCCACTAATGTACAAATAAGAAGATGTGGTACGATTGCCAATGAGACAACTCTACACCAGAGACCAAATGACAGAGAACTTTACAAATATAGGTCACTGTACGGCCTTCAATAATGATTCAGTAATGAACAAATTTATGTGGTATATCTTTATCTTATAATAACTAATATGTTTGTTTGATTTCAATTATTCAACTTGGGGTACTAAGACAAATGTAAGAGGAGGTAACTCAGAAATTGTATAATTCATAAAGGAATCTATAGGAATATTTTCTATTTCATGTTATAGCAGGAACAGTAGCCCCAGTTTTTTAATTTGATATTCTGAAAATATTTTTTAAAGAACTATCTTCTCATATATTTTTTTCAGAATTTGAACTTTTAGATTGTAGATTATCGTTGATCATCTCAACAAGATTGATTTTCTCGCTTGAGCGGGTACGGCGCTATTTTACCTATGCGGATGTTATCAATTTCATTGCCAACGCCACGTGCCCCCTTAGTTTCTAGCGATAATTTTTCATATCACTATACTATGCTAAGTAAGGAAATTATCAGTCAGTACGTAAGATCAAAGGAAAATTTCGTAAAATAGCAATTATACCTTCTATTCACCTAATGATGCCTTTCTCTAACAATCCTTTCCGTCATTTTTTCACAACAAGCCCGGTAACTTATCTGTTTTATCATTCTTTTGAACATATCTCAATACGTATTACTTTTGGCAAAGTATGAAAAGATTCTATCGTTTTTATTTATATACCTTAAAGGTCAAGGATAAATTACTTTCCTTGAAATGTCAGTTAATTTCAGATGATAGATCTTCTCTGTACTCTTAATTGACATAGCATTGTAGATTAGGGTTACATTCCTAATTTTCTGTTTACACATATCTATACATCCATACACTGGGTTGCATTCCTGTTTTTCTGTACACTGACATTGTTTAGCACAGTTTTCTCCATAATACCCAGTAGTGCAGGCTGTAAACACAACAAAAAACATTGATTATAGTTCATAAACTGAACAATATCACTAGAAACCAATATTTATATTCAAATTGTACAGACAACTGTCTATTGTTGATGACTGTTTGTATAGACACATGTGTATTGTTGACGACTGTATGTAGAGACACCTGTCTATTGTTGACGACTGTATGTATAGACACCTGTCTATTGTTGACGACTGTATGTAGAGACACCTGTCTATTGTTAACGACTGTATGTAGAGACACCTGTCTATTGTTGACGACTGTAGGTAGAGACACCTGTCTGTTGTTGACTACTGTATATAGAGACACATGTCTATTGTTGACAACTGTATGTAGAGACACCTGTCTATTGTTGACGATTGTATGTTAAGACTGTATGTATAGACACCTGTCTATTGTTGACGACTGTATGTATAGACACCTGTCTATTGTTGACGACTGTATGTAGAGACACCTGTATATTGTTGACGACTGTATGTATAGACACCTGTCTATTGTTGACGACTGTATGTATAGACACCTGTCTATTGTTGACGACTGTATGTAGAGACACCTGTCTATTGTTGACGACTGTAAGTAGAGACACCTGTCTATTGTTGACTACTGTATGTATAGACACCTGTCTATTGTTGACTACTGTATGTAGAGACACCTGTCTATTGTTGACTATTGTATGTAGAGACACTTGTCTATTGTTGACTACTGTATGTAGAGACACCTGTCTATTGTTGACGACTGTTTGCATAGACACCTGTCTATTGTTGACGACTGTATGTATAGACACCTGTCTATTGTTAACGACTGTATGTATAGACACCTGTCTATTGTTGACGACTGTATGTAGAGACACCTGTCTATTGTTGACGACTGTATGTAGAGACACCTGTCTATTGTTGACTACTGTATGTATAGACACCTGTCTATTGTTCACTATATATAGACACCTGTCTATTGTTGACTATATGTAGAGATACCTGTCTATTGTTGACTATATATAGACACCTGTCTATTGTTGACTGTATGTAGAGATACCTGTCTATTATTGACAACTATGTAGAGACACCTGTCTTTTGTTGTTGACTATGTCGAGACACCTGTCTTTTGTTTATGACTGTATGTAGAGACACTTGTCTATTGCTGACGATTGTATGAAAAGACCATGTAGAGACACCTGTCTATTGTTGACGACTGTATGTAAAGACACCTGTCTATTTTTGACGACTGTATGTAAAGACACTTGTCTATTGTTGACGCCTGTATATATAGACACTTGTCTATTGATGACGACTGTTTGTAGAGACACCTGTCTATTGTTGAGGACTGTATGTAGTGACACATGTCTATTGTTGAGGACTGCATTAGAGACACCTGTATATTGTTGAGGACTGTATGTAGAGACACCTGTCTATTGTTGACTACTGTATGTAGAGACACCTGTCTATTGTTGACTACTGTATGTAGAGACACCTGTCTATTGTTGACGACTGTATCCATAGACACCTGTCTATTGTTGACGACTGTATGTATAGACACCTGTCTATTGTTGACGACTGTAGGTAGAGACACCTGTCTTTTGTTGACTACTGTATATAGAGACACATGTCTATTGTTGACAACTGTATGTAGAGACACCTGTCTATTGTTGACGATTGTATGTTAAGACTGTATGTATAGACACCTGTCTATTGTTGACGACTGTTTGTATAGACACCTGTCTATTGTTGACGACTGTATGTAGAGACACCTGTCTATTGTTGACGACTGTATGTATAGACACCTGTCTATTGTTGACGACTGTATGTAGAGACACCTGTCTATTGTTAACGACTGTATGTAGAGACACCTGTCTATTGTTGACGACTGTAGGTAGAGACACCTGTCTTTTGTTGACTACTGTATATAGAGACACATGTCTATTGTTGACAACTGTATGTAGAGACACCTGTCTATTGTTGACTACTGTATGTATAGACACCTGTCTATTGTTCACTATATATAGACACCTGTCTATTGTTGACTATATGTAGAGATACCTGTCTATTGTTGACTATATATAGACACCTGTCTATTGTTGACTGTATGTAGAGATACCTGTCTATTATTGACAACTATGTAGAGACACCTGTCTTTTGTTGTTGACTATGTCGAGACACCTGTCTTTTGTTTATGACTGTATGTATAGACACTTGTCTATTGCTGACGATTGTATGAAAAGACCATGTAGAGACACCTGTCTATTGTTGACGACTGTATGTAAAGACACCTGTCTATTTTTGACGACTATATGTAAAGACACTTGTCTATTGTTGACGCCTGTATATATAGACACTTGTCTATTGATGACGACTGTTTGTAGAGACACCTGTCTATTGTTGAGGACTGTATGTAGTGACACATGTCTATTGTTGAGGACTGCATGTAGAGACACCTGTATATTGTTGAGGACTGTATGTAGAGACACCTGTCTATTGTTGACGACTGTATGCATAGACACCTGTCTATTGTTGACGACTGTATGTATAGACACCTGTCTATTGTTAACGACTGTATGTATAGACACCTGTCTATTGTTGACGACTGTATGTAGAGACACCTGTCTATTGTTGACTACTGTATGTATAGACACCTGTCTATTGTTCACTATATATAGACACCTGTCTATTGTTGACTATATGTAGAGATACCTGTCTATTGTTGACTATATATAGACACCTGTCTATTGTTGACTGTATGTAGAGATACCTGTCTATTATTGACAACTATGTAGAAACACCTGTCTATTGTTGTTGACTATGTCGAGACACCTGTCTTTTGTTTATGACTGTATGTAGAGACACTTGTCTACTGCTGACGATTGTATGAAAAGACCATGTAGAGACACCTGTCTATTGTTGACGACTGTATGTAAAGACACCTGTCTATTGTTGACGACTGTATGTAGAGACACCTGTCTATTGTTGACGACTGTATGTATAGACACCTGTCTTTTGTTGACGACTGTATGTAGAGACACCTGTCTATTGTTAACGACTGTATGTAGAGACACCTGTCTATTGTTGACGACTGTAGGTAGAGACACCTGTCTATTGTTAACGACTGTATGTAGAGACACCTGTCTATTGTTGACGACTGTAGGTAGAGACACCTGTCTTGTGTTGACTACTGTATATAGAGACACATGTCTATTGTTGACAACTGTATGTAGAGACACCTGTCTATTGTTGACGATTGTATGTTAAGACTGTATGTATAGACACCTGTCTATTGTTGACGACTGTAGGTAGAGACACCTGTCTTTTGTTGACTACTGTATATAGAGACACATGTCTATTGTTGACAACTGTATGTAGAGACACCTGTCTATTGTTGACTACTGTATGTATAGACACCTGTCTATTGTTCACTATATATAGACACCTGTCTATTGTTGACTATATGTAGAGATACCTGTCTATTGTTGACTATATATAGACACCTGTCTATTGTTGACTGTATGTAGAGATACCTGTCTATTATTGACAACTATGTAGAGACACCTGTCTTTTGTTGTTGACTATGTCGAGACACCTGTCTTTTGTTTATGACTGTATGTAGAGACACTTGTCTATTGCTGACGATTGTATGAAAAGACCATGTAGAGACACCTGTCTATTGATGACGACTGTTTGTAGAGACACCTGTCTATTGTTGAGGACTGTATGTAGTGACACATGTCTATTGTTGAGGACTGCATGTAGAGACACCTGTCTTTTGTTGACTA